CAGTGTCTAATGTTACTAGTAGCGACCATCTAGTACAGTGTCTAGTGTTACTAGTAACGACCATCTAGTATAGTGTCTAGTGTTACTAGTAACGACCATCTAGTACAGTGTCTAGTGTTACTAGTAACGACCATCTAATACAGTGTCTAATGTTACTAGTAACGACCATCTAGTACAGTGTCTAGTGTTACTAGTAAGGACCATCTAGTATAGTGTCTAGTGTTACTAGTAACGACCATCGAGTACAGTGTCTAGTGGTACTAGTAACGACCATCTAGTATAGTGTCTAGTGTTACTAGTAACGACCATCTAGTATAGTAAAGTAAAAGGACACAAGTGCAACTAATGTGACATTTATTGTGGCAACGTTTCGCTCTCCAGGAGCTTTATCAAGCCATTACAAACAATACATGGACACAGAGGGTATATAAAGGCTCAGAGTGAGGTGAATACTAGTGAGGTACCATTTCGATGTTCACTAGTGGTAGTAGTAGTAGTAGTAGTAGTGGTAGTGACAAAAGTAATACAATATGGTAAAGCAATTAATTCGTACATGAGTAAAAGGATATAAAAGCTATTACTTGGGTAACATAAAAATAGGTTGGACAAATATAAACTGGAATGAGGCAGCTTGTTTCAGTGTACACTCTCTGTGCTTTGTGTAGTATAACAGGAGAGACTATGTGATGGCAGGGTTTACTGTTTTCAGGAGGATTCTTGCTAAGACTTCGGAGATGGTGAAGCTGCCGTTGTTTTGTTTAATTGTATTCGAAACAGCGATCAGTGCTGATTCGAGGCACTTGCGTCTGCGGAAATTAGTTTCTTTGATCACTAATTGGGCGTCTCTGAATTTCATGAGATGACTGGAGGAATTTCGGTGTTGTACACAGGCGTTGTTCAGGTTATCGTTCCTACATGCGTAAATGTGTTCATTGAGGCGGGTGTCGAGGTTTCTGGCTGTTTCACCTACGTAAATCTTGTCGCAGCCTCCACAGGGTATAGTGTAAACTCCTGCATTATACCCTGTGGAGGCTGCGACAAGATTTACGTAGGTGAAACAGCCAGAAACCTCGACACCCGCCTCAATGAACACATTTACGCATGTAGGAACGATAACCTGAACAACGCCTGTGTACAACACCGAAATTCCTCCAGTCATCTCATGAAATTCAGAGACGCCCAATTAGTGATCAAAGAAACTAATTTCCGCAGACGCAAGTGCCTCGAATCAGCACTGATCGCTGTTTCGAATACAATTAAACAAAACAACGGCAGCTTCACCATCTCCGAAGTCTTAGCAAGAATCCTCCTGAAAACAGTAAACCCTGCCATCACATAGTCTCTCCTGTTATACTACACAAAGCACAGAGAGTGTACACTGAAACAAGCTGCCTCATTCCAGTTTATATTTGTCCAACCTATTTTTATGTTACCCAAGTAATAGCTTTTATATCCTTTTACTCATGTACGAATTAATTGCTTTATCGCCTTTATATACCCTCTGTGTCCATGTATTGTTTGTAATGGCTTGATAAAGCTCCTGGAGAGCGAAACGTTGCCACAATAAATGTCACATTAGTTGCAATTGTGTCCTTTTACTTTACATATTGTCGGTAATTCTACCAACTTTATTACCATCTAGTATAGTGTTACTAGTAACATGACTATCTAATATGGTGTTTAGTGTAACTATTAATGTGATGGTTGCTTTTACTGGCAGCGAGGACACACGTGTAAGGCAACGCAGAGACACGTCAACTGGGTGCGTCTCCGCGCTGGCTGGTGTGTGAGTGAACGTCGCTACCGACCCAAGGTTTGTGGCTCTTGTCCTGACCGCTGCTGCACCGTTCACACCTCCACCACCATCTCCATCGCCTTCCTCTGCCCGCTCCACGCCAACACCAACCTGCTGGCGGCCCCACACGCCGCCCACACCGGCTTGCCACTCCCACGCCCACGCCCAGATGCTCACCCACCCTCCACACGCTCCCCTAGCGTGTATGACATGATGGATGAGGGTCAGCCAGTAGAAGAGGCTGTACTCTCCTACCCACAGCGGTCACAACACCCTTACAAAGTTCAGAATGACGCTGACTTTACCTACGACAACTACCTGACCGATGACACTCGTCAGTACAACGACGACGACCTCGACGACGAACTTTTACTGGAACACGAAAACCTGACTGTGGAAGACGACGCTGAGTTCGACGACATAAAGAGCGACAATTACGAGATCGTTCACTATCAGGTGGAGTGGATATTAAGGTGTAAGTGTAGCCCTACTTGCGACACCCACGACCCTGCCTACGACACCCACCCACCACCCACAACGACCCAACATCCTGCAGAAACTCCCACGTAACCAGGAGGCGATGTGGAAAGTCTACTGCAGACATCGGCACTCATCGCAGAAGAAAAACAGAACCTCGTGCCTCCTGTGGTCAAAAACTCCTTCATATGTATCCCACAAACTAGAGATGATACATAAACGATGTTTCGATCCATTCTGAACCATTATCAAGGCGTGTATTTAATCTCAAAATTTGTGGGATAGTTGTGAATTGTTACAACCACTGTATTGAGACTCGCTCCTAGCAACCTGCGTTCCTCAGGTGAATTGTCCACTGATGAAATCAGAAACTGTGAGCAGTGATCATATATGTATATATGTCATGTGTGTTTGTGATTATGCTTGTGAACCAAATATTTTTGGTATTTATGTGAGTTTGAATATATCTAAGAAGCACTGTATCATTGGAAAATTATATTTATGATGTAGTGATCAATATTATATGTATAAATGTCGTGCCGAATACGTAAAATTGGTCAATTAGCAAGAACTCATTTAAAATTAAGTTCTTTCTATAATTTTCTCTTATACGTTTAAAGATATATATTTTTCACTTACGTTAATGTAAAAATTAATAATTTTGCACAAAAAAAAATTAGAAAAACCAACCTAACATTATAACAAGCGTAATTTGATTTAGCGTAATTGAACTAAATATATTTTAGTTAAGTTTACAGTAATTTAATAATAAAGAAGCACAATGAAATATATTTTTTTCGTTAGGTTCAGAATGATTTTTGCAAAATTATTGCATGCGCAAATTTTCGCTTGCCGTATTCGGCAAGAAGTACGTTGCTACTTAAGCCAAAATCGCAAGTTTTACCTATCGGCACGACATAAATATATATAACTGTGTATGAACCGTGTCACCAAGTGCAATTGTCGCTCCGAATATCTTCGAACATGCTACAATGGAAACTTAAAACCGGAGCTCTTCTCTTCTTTGCTGCTGAGTGTGTTGCAGACTGTTAGTGTTCCAAAGACTATCTCAGAGATGGTGTCTCAAGAACTTTGAGAGTCTCAAAGATTTTGAGTATCTCAGAGAATGTGATTGTTCCAGAAGTTGAAATACGTAACTAACCATCAAACTGGATGCGATGCTTGTCTAGTTTCGTCATTGTGCGGGTTAGTTGTGACTTGTTTCCAGCGACGGTATTGTGGGTTTGTTATGAATTGTTCCGGCTAAGATATTGCGGGTTAATTGTGAATTGTTCCATGCACCGTATCCTCATTTTTTTCCTCTCAGAATGAAATACACTGTTGAAATCTGGCAGCATCTCTCCTAAAATTAAAATACCAGTGCTCTCTATTTTATATCTATGTACTGACAATATTATCTCGCTCGTAGAGCTTATCAGTATTTAAATAAAGTCATCTGTACCATAGAAGAGCAACGTCAAGATGATCAAAATAAAAGTACGTTCATGAACTTTGTGTAGAAATGTCCAATCAGTGTGTGAGTAAATAATTAATACTGTTAGAGTGAGGATAATTACTAGCGTGATGACACTCTGCGGCCTGGGTGTGATTATTATTATTACTATTATTATTATTATTATTATTATTATTATTATTATTATTATTATTATCCTGCGTCCTTTCTGAATGGGAATTTATTTAATTTGTATGTATTATTTAAAGTTTCTTTTTGGGTAGATAACTTCAGTACTCTGAAAACATACAGCGCCTGAGGAATGGATCGATCCGATGGAGGGGCGATTAGCTCCAATTCCTCTAATCAAGAGCCCTTCACCAGCCTCAAAGAATCCCCACTGAAGGGGAAAATAGTGGATGAACCAGTATCAAGGGTCTCCCCGGACACCTTTGAAGAACTCGATGACCTTTGTAGATAAACATCATCATCGTCACTGCCCTGCCTGACATGTTCTAAGGCTTCTTAACGTTGTAGGGACCTTTCTTATAAGTCCCGGTGACCATTCTGACACATCCTGGCCTCTGATTGTACTTCTGACCCTGACCGTTCAGACGCGTCCTGGCCTCTTAGTAATCTTTCTGACAACTCCTGGTGACCATTTCGACACATCCTGGTCTTTCATTGACCTTCCTGTCTAGTTCCGGTGACTATTCCGACGTCTCCTGACCTCCTAGTTCCCTTCTGACAACTCCTGGTGACCATTTCGACACATCCTGGTCTTTCATTGACCTTCCTGTCTAGTTCCGGTGACTATTCCGACGTCTCCTGACCTCCTAGTTCCCTTCTGACAACTCCTGGTGACCATTTCGACACATCCTGGTCTTTCATTGACCTTCCTGTCTAGTTCCGGTGACTATTCCGACGTTTCCTGACCACCTAGTTCCCTTCTGACAAGTCCTGGTGTCCAGTCTGAAAATCTGGATGCTGTGACAGAGGGAAGCTATATAACAGTAGGTATATTAAACCCTCGATAGCAGTTATTATATAAATAACAATTGCGATACAAGATTATGTAAGCATGTCATCTCAACCACATGTACATAGAGCGTATGCTAAGTTATGTTGATCATTGAAGTTATTATTTTTAAGAAAAAATGCTGAGCACATATTGGAGGTAATTATGTATGATAAGAGAGAAGGAAGGATAGCTATATATCTCTTGAATTAACCGAGCCGCCCTTTCTCTATCATCAGGGCAATTTCCTTGAAGGGTAGTTAGGTAAACTGAGCCTGTTATTGAAGCGTTGTTCGTTAAGGTATTCTAGCTCACTGAAGCTGTGTTCAGTTATATATCATAGTTATAAACCTTGTTCTGTTATGTATCCTGAGATACGGAAGTTCATGTTGTTATATACCCTGGTTAACTGAAGCTGTGCTCAGTATGTATCCTGGGATACTGCAGCTGTGTTCATTTATATTTCCTGGTATACTGAAGCTGTGTTCCGTTATGTATCCTGGTATATTAAACATATGTTCAGATATTAATAATTATACTCTTACCGAATTTGATTATACGTCCTGGTATATTCAACCTGTGGGTTGGTTATCTATCCTGGCTTATTAAATCTGCGTTATGTATTTGGTATTTTCATTCAATGTTGAATTATTTATATTGGTATATTAAATGTGTTATATATTCTGGTATATTCAGTCTGCTGGCCGTTATGAATCCTAGCATATTCAACCTATGGTCATTTATGTATTGAGGTATATTCAACATGTATTCAGATGTGTGTCCACATATATTCAACCTGTCGTCAGGTATGTACAAAAACGTGGTATGTATATACCACCTCGGCTTAGTTATGTATCCTGGTATTACTGGTTTAGGAAGTCCGATGAAAACGCAATAATTAGCGTAATTTACATATTTGTAACGTATATTGTGATGGTGGATTCCATTATGAAAAATTACATCAGCGAATGTGTTTGTTATACCAAATTCGCGTACATAATAATTAGTTACATAAACTGTATGATAATATCTGGTGATAACATGTCAATGTAGCCGCTGCTGTATACACTATCACCACCACCATCCAAACCACACCACGACTAACAACTACGATCAACAACAACAACAACAACTCCCTTTTCCCCACCCAACTACCACCACGGATACATTCACCATCACTACCACACTTCTATCTACCTCCACTACCACCAACACCACTACAGTGTTGAATTCAGATCGAGAAACGCAGGATACGAGTGATATCAAAAGAAAGAGAAGCCGGAATTGTCGAAGTGCTGACCGGATGCAGACTGCGTCATCCTCTCTCAATATAGTGATTTACTGGACGCAGACTGCGTCATCCTCTCGTAATATAGCCATTTACTGGACGTACACTGCATCCTCTCCTCTTAAGAAGCTCTCACATTGTCAGAAATTTTGGCTACATTCTTCGCTTTAAATTCTTTGTCCTCTTGACTCAAGACATTGTGGCTATCCTGATTACTTCCTATTCTCCAAGAGCTGTACGGCCCCTTTTCAGTACACATTTTTAATTAAATAAAGTTCAGCTCTAAAATAAGTCATCCTCTCCTATCTCCTCCTTCCCCACATAAAAAGACATATTAAGCTTCGGACCAACTGCAGACATATATGGTCAAAAGAAAGACAACAGAGAAACTACAACAAAAATATTACAAAGTCTCTACTTCCTGCCTTTGTTTTACTCTAATGGTATGATAATCAAAAATGAGAATGGAGTTTTTTTTATTTTTTGCAGATTTTTTTGGAGGTGTGATATAATATATATGTTAAGTAATAACATAGCTAGAGACCCTAGGTAGGAAAAAATATATATAGTTAAGCAAACATATCATCTTTCAAGGGCCTGTCGGAATTTTAATCTTCTGGGAAGACAAAAAAAATTATAGGTGAGAAGGATCTATTTTTTTTTTTTTGGGGGGGGGGTCAGCCTACACCGCCTTACAGTTGTGGAGACGATGACGATTTGAAAGTCTTAAATTATAGAGGATTTCAGCTAATAAAAGTGAATAAATTAATTAGAAGCTGGTATTCTTTCTGCCATCTTATGTTGTTACTGACAACTTTCCCTTCAGGGTGAGCTGGAGCTATCTTCCCCTTCCTGGGATCAAACCTGAATGCTTATCTTTCCACAGACACTGTATGACCATGGTGGGTTTAGAGCTTCTTCAATGAAAATAATAAGAATAATTATAATAAAAATAATAATAATAATGATTCACAACTTTGAAACTGTGCCATTTTTATTTCACACACACACACACACACACACACACACACACACACACACACACACACACACACACACACAACACACATACAAACACAGATTTTAATATTGGAGAAAAATATATAAATGAAGAGAATGAGACAGGGCTATGTGCAAGCGTTCCATCCGTTTACAAGAGGACTGCCAGAAGATCACAGAAGACCTCGCCTGGCCATCACCTTCCAGTGTGGCGAGAATTGGACGAGTCTGAAGGAGAGTGGAAGGACCTCTGCCTGATGGAGGTGCCTCTTGTTGCTTAAAGGATTTGCAACTTTACATCCCACAGGCGAGCGAGCAAGCGAGAGAGAGAGAGAGAGAGAGAGAGAGAGACAGACAGACAGACAGACAGACAGACAGACAGACAGAGATAGTAACAAACAATGACCTGTTCTCATCATTAAAGGAAAAAGAAGAGATCATAAAGACAAACTGCACACCTGGAGTTTACC